GGCTTGACCCCCAAATTCTAAAAAGTTTCTTCCAGTATGGGGTTTAAGTAGATCAGATGTACTTAAAAATACTAAAGTCTTCCGAAGTTTTGCCCAAGGAAAGGCCACTTTTCAAAATGGCGGCCCGTCCAGGTCCTTATAAAATGACCACATCTACTCCTTTGATATTACGTCCTAGACAGGAAATACTAGGTGACTTGATACCATGTTTCTTTGGCCATCAGGTAAATTTCTCTAAAATTAGCCATTTGCATTGATAGATACAAGTGATACAAATTACAATTATATGTATGTTTAAGCATGGGTTAAGCACTTTTTATCGGAAAATAGTAATTCCATTAAGTATTGGGCGCTATTTTATCCTTTTTATCATAATCGTTTTCCTTAGTTGGTGTGGTTTCTGTTGGTTCATAACATTTTTTGATTCATAAGATCAATTCATTAGATGTGGGGTGGTAGTAATTAGTTTCCAAAAACAGGGCTGCCATTGAAGGCTCGTGTAACCAGCCATATTTGCAGCTGACTATTTAGTGCCACTGAGACTACAAACACAGCAGTACACTTTGGGATTAGATGTAATATGGAGTGCCACTGCCCTAGCAGTATTACTGCCTGGCCTCAGTGTACAATCATCTGTTAGGCGTTTGTGTGTTTTCTGGGTTTATGGTTTTTTTATGGATAATGTCTTGTTCTTATATTTTCTCGTCTGCCTCTGTTCTGTGTTATACACGAAGCAATAAAAGCTTTAGAAAGAAAGAGCAACAAAAAGCAGCAGGTCATCTTGTCACATCCACAGCTGCTAACAAACTGAATGACATTCAAAAGCACGACCTGTAGGGGGAAACTACGGGCCTGATGGAAGCACCTTAAACTCTGAGTGTAGAGACTGCTGGCTGTGATAAAATGCCCTGCCCTTCCTGTGTGGTTCAAGATGTATTATCATTTAGAGACACAGAACATTAACGTTTATGAACAGATACCTGCCTTCACTAAGACATCTGTCCCCTTCTGATGAGGCATGTACAATTATTTCATTCAAATGATTGAAGGCTTACATCTGCTGCTCCAAAGCAAAGGAAAATATTAGAGCTTCCAGGGAATGTTAAAACTTCAGAAATCAATCACACACAGATTTAGAAAAACCCAGATTGTTTTTATTAATTTATTTTGAAGTTTGTCAACTGGCTGTAAACTTCAAATCTGAAATCAGTTCATTACATACACACAATTACCAAAATACAAAACCCTGTTACAGTAGTAACTGCCATTGTAATTGTAATGTAATCTGTCACATGAACCCATCTGCAAATATGAAGGAATGAGTAGCAGCAGAAGATGAGAACAGAGAGCTCAGTTGTTCATTTTGCTTCTGCTGCTACTTCCTGATCCAGATTTCTTTTAATCTTCTTTGATCAAATTACAAATCACGCTCCTTGGTCACTGTACTTTTCTGTCGACTTTCACCCCCAATATGGGTTATTAAGCTATTCAGAGATCCTGTGCCCATTGAACCCTTCGAATTCCACCACCACCCCAGCCCCACACCTAAACTCAGCAGTGGCTTCTCAGTTCTTCTTGGCCTTTGGTGAGTCGTACTTCCTCTTGCTGGAGTACCAGAGGAGCAGAGGGATGCCGATGGAGGGCAGGGTCATTACGCCAAACGCAGCCCAGTCCAGCTAGAAAAGGGAGACATGGGGGAGTGAGTGAAGCTAAAGGGACAGTTCATTTTCTTTGTCATTACTGAATGGCAATGATTCAATGTTATTTAAAGCTGCAGTAGGTACATTTTAATTTTTGCAAAATTTGCGACAGTAGTACATGAGACATACAATCTGTTAATTAGCATGACTCCTCCTAGTGCTCCTAATGGCATTTGCAAGAATCCACCGGGCCTAAACAAAAATAACCAATCGACGTTCAACCCAAAGCATGTGTTTATCTTTCTCTGCTCTGATTGGTTGTTTTCGTCCAGTCCTGGTGGATTCTTGCAAATGCCATAATGCCACCGATTATCTGTCTCATGTACTACTCAGAGGATATAGTGAAAGTTTCAGCAAATATGACAAAAGCTTATTTTTATAAAAGCTACCTACTCTGCCGTTAATTGTCATTTACAAAACAGGGTTGTGTAAGGAATTTCAGATTGTACTTCCCTATTGAAAGATTATTTATAGTAAAATTGATTATTAAGTCATAAACATTTTTATTTGTCCTGAGGATGAAGTCTCACAGCCTGAGAGGAAGTGTTATTTAAGAAAAAAATGTTTTATTGCCAGCTCCGTGTTATATGTGTTGCCTATACTGCCACAGAGCTGTAAGAAGCTGTTTCCCTACAAAGGCTTTATAAGTATATATTCATTTGCCAGTTTATTAGGTTCAGCTAGGTCAGACGAATGCCATCTAATACAACAGTCCTGCAATAAATTCTCCCTTCATGAAGGTTCAGTTTTTGTTTGGACCCCTTTAACAGAGGGTTGATTCAACTGCATGATGCCTTTTGAGGCCTTTATATCGTACATCTCGTTTGTATTATAGGCAAAATCTCAAATTGAACACAAAGCCTTTTTTGCTGCTCTCAGACAGAATAAACTGCAGCAGAAATTAAAACCTGTTCTCTTTGGCTGATTTTACACACTGCCTCCACTGGTACCTGCAATGGTTACATCTCATTGAGTGCAGATCTTTACAGGTTAACTAGGCCTTTAGCACAAATTGTTAGATTTGTTCATCACTGGTTATGTGCCTTACTCAGTTCCACTTTTACATGTTCAACGTTGTTTTTTTCCCCACTTTCCAAGTAGTTGGGCAAGTAGGTCATCTATCAAATTGCTGAAATCAATATGTACTTGCACCTATACAGATTGTTTTATTTATTAGTGGTTATGAAATAACAACAAAGACCCTCTTAGCTGTCTTGCAAGCGAGATGCTGTTGGCTGTTGTCTGTTGTCATTGCACTCCAGCTGAATTTTTCTAAAACTTGACATGCCTTTGAAAAACTATCCTCTTCTATCCACCTTACTCTCAAACTTGTTGCAAATTACACAATATATAGTTGGGGTTTCACCCACATCCTCTAATGTCACTTAACTCCTGTAAAATGCTCACTTGCATTTCAGATCATGAATTTTGTCTTTACCCGCCGCCATTTTCTCCAAGTGCCCGATCGGCACTGAGCGTGTGCAACTGTCAGAAGAGAAGGAAGCGAGATGGCTAGCTCACTGTGGTGTTATTTCCTTGTCCAGTATACAGGACACCCATGCACCCGTGTTTAAAGTGGTTCTGTGTTTCCTCAGCTAAAGAATAGGAAGTTCTACATAAGGTTTGTTTACAGAATTCCACTAACATTGATCATTTCCTCTACTAAAGTACCATTTACTACTGCTCTTTCTAAAGTTAATCAGGTAAGTGAGTAAGTGAAAACCACTTTTTGAATGTTAACACTCACATAGTGTGGGGAGAAGCGCCGGTCGAACTCCCTCTGAGCCAGGATGCCTCCTTGGCCGGGGGCGCTAGTGTAGCCAACCTGCAGGAAAGGACAGACACTTTAGCTTCCTTCAC